ATGCTATGGCCTAAAATTTTCATACAAGGAATTTGATAACGAAAAAAAATTCATACGCCTCGAAAATTCCCCACCCCCAAACCAATGGTCCGTCCCTAAGTTAACCTGAAGTAAAAAAGAATCGGTTGTGTATGAAGCTTTATTTTACTTGAAGTAATTAAAATTTACTTGCCCTGAAATATTTCTTAGCTTGTTTAGGCTCTAGTGTAAAGACTACTATGGAGTAAAATGGCTAAGGGCAAAAAACATACCTCAAATATTAGCCCAGTAAAGGTGAGGGCACAAAAAAACGTTTTGTAAGTCTATTTGACATTATAAGAAAACTTTATAAATAAACTGTTTTCGTAACCACCAGACAATTTACAATTTATCTACAAGGCTCATGTCCAAGTCTCTCAGTTTTTTCAAGGCTGTTACATTTTGCTTGTTACATTTCGCGTTAAAAATATTGTTTCATTTTGCGTCAAAAAGTTGTTACATTTCGCGTTAAAAAGTTCTTACATTTTGCGTCAAAAGTTGTTACATTTCGGGTTAATGTTACATTTCGCGTCAAAAGTTGTTACATTTCGCGTTAATGTTACATTTTGCGTCATTTGTTACATTTTGCGGCGTAACATACCGTTGCGAGATTTCGTACCGGAGTGAAATTCTTGCCCCATTACAAGAACCGGGGTGAACTCACGTCGGGGTGACTCGCCCCGGCACGACATTTTGTGGTGGTATCATGTAAACAAATATAGAGCAATAAGAGGGAACCGGAGTGAACTCGCTCCAGGGTAAAAGTCGCCCCGGTGTCATGTAAACATCTTATCAGAAGCACTTCTTTGAAGAATCACACGCGCAGTCAAACGTGAATTTCGTGTTCTCTTCTTTAGAAGAAACCAGAAAAGTCCTTGTAAACCTGCATCAATGATTGTCGGAGATACGCACAGTCTACTGTTTGTGTAAGTGCATATGAACAACTAATCGAAGCAGTTTTATTTAATTATCACGGGCTCTATCGTTACCGGTCTCGAAGAAAACAACGTGTAAACAGTCTAGTACCCGTTACAAGAGGCTCTCAAGTACCGTGCCTTTTTCTGTCGAGCACATTACAGAATTCGTACGTGTAAACAGGAGATTTCGTCTGGAACCGGTACTTGTTTCTAACCGAGCCGTCCCTTCTCTTTTAACGTGTAAACGGGCCTTAAATTCTCTGACACTTAAATAAAGCTCACTCATCATTCATTCACTGATGACACGGGCGGAAGTCTTTCATCCAAAAGTTTACATTTTTATCGATTAACGCTGCTTAGAAATTATGTCTATTATAATCACATGTAAATCAACGAATAATAACAATGTTATTTCACTTACCACTGCTTTACAACATGTGCTTCGTCAACTGCGATAGCACAAAGTTTCTTTCTGTACAAATCACTCGCTAACATTTTCCTCCACCGATGGATCTTCAACCACGCTTCTGGGCTTCCATAAACAACAGAGAAAGCCCCTCTCTCGACAGCCTTCATATTATCTTCGCTAATATCAATTAGCGTTACAGCAGGAATGCCAATATTTACCAGCTTTCCAACTTGATCCTTCATAAGATTGATTAGGGGCGAAACAACAACAACAACAATATGTCCAGTAGTTCCACGCACCATGTCACAAACAAGCGGCAAAGCTTGATATATAAGGGATTTCCCAAATCCCGTTGGCAAATTTATGAACAGATCAGTCTTCCTCTGTACTATTTGCAGGATAGCTTCTTTCTGATACTTGTTTAACTCCGTAATTCCAAATTTCTCACACGCCCGATCAAGAGCTTTACTAATGTCGGCCATGTTTTCACGCAAATCTGAACAAGCGGCTCAGGTTACGTTTTACAAAAAACCGTAAACGGCTTGTGATTGGTGAACACAAATGTCGGCTCTGTTTAGCAGATGTCCGTTGGGGAGAAATGAATGCGTGACAAACGAACCCCAAAGGACGTCTGCGGGGAGGCTACCTAAGGAAAGGTTTGGTTGTTGTTTTTCTGCTGGTGTTAGTTTGGTGATGTTGACTTCAGTTGATCTTTTCACTGATGATGGTGATGTTTTGGTTTTTTTCAATTGCTTGACACCAGTTTTGATCCCAATAAGCGTTTTGTTTTCACTTGTCTTTTTACCATGTCGTCCAACATATTTGGCCCTTTTTGGAGGTTGGGGTAAATCGCAGAATTGATCTTTACTGATGGCATGTTTACTTTTAAAGGGCTTTTTTTCAGCTGGAACTTCCAGGTCTATGCCATCCTCATCTAACTTCAGATAGTGCTTGGACTAATTTAAGTTGTAGTGAAGTCAAAGCCTCTGAGTCGTGGACCAAGTGAGTAGCACATCTTAACTGGGCCAGTAGATCGCAGCACCGAGCTCCCTCGTTCCTGTCATTTTTTGGGTGGGTAGGAAGGCCTTCTTCAACATCAAGAGTCGGAGGGGTTTTCGAATCTGAAGTGCATTGATCAACAGGTGAATGCTTTTCTGAGATGTTTTGTTGTTCTTGTGGTTCTTCTAGGTGTGGAGTTGTCAATGGTTCTTCAGCAGTTTGGGAGCTGGTCATGTTGCAGGGTGATTGTAGCTTTGTGATGAGCTCCTCATCCAATGAGAAGAAAGGAGAGTTAAGGTAGACTGATGATAAGTTTTCCCATTGCTATGCTGGATAAGTATTGAATATGGCAATGAAGTTGCTTGCAGGGCAGCCACCACTTTTGCCAGTACGGACATCCACAATGGCACATGGTCTCAGAATCTCCAAAACTCAAGACATACCCGGAACCATCCTGGCTTTGACTCTTGATGTTAAATGTTCCTTTAGAGATATCAATGCACTTGATGTGTTGGCTCTTAATATCCTTGGCTGCGAAAATCCTCTCTTTACAATGTAGAACTAATATTCTCGGCCTGTTCACTAAAAATGAAGGAATGTCTGATTTATACTTGCGATATCCTTGGGAATACTTCACATTCATCTCCACATACCTTAAATAAAAATCAAAATAATTGCAGGGAAGTCAGATTTTTAAATGTCATTTAGGGTTTCCTGCAACATTTTGAATCTTTATTTTATTATTATTTTATATTTTTTATAGTGTGAGTTTATAATGTCAAATTTAAGGATTATTCCGAGTGAATTTTAGCACAGTTCTTGTCATTACTATATCATAATGAAATGTTTAATGCAGGCTGTTTAATTCCTACCTTTTGTAATTGTCAGGAAGGAACTCTTCACTGAGGATGGTCAACATTCAACTCAACCTGTTATTTTTGTGGTCGTGAAGGTATGCATACTTGAAGACTTGTTTTTGTCTCTCCAGTCCATTGTTTGTGTTCACACCAAGAACGAAGTGTTCACACCGGAATACCCATACACGAAAATT